TTTTCATGCGCCAGGGGTTCAACAATACTTCGTTCAGGCGATCCGAGTCTTAGCTTGTTGTGCATGCACGTGCCAGAACTGGTTAAACCGATCTAGCATGATCTAATGCCACTCCATGAGGTCAAGACTATGGCGCGATGGTCCGAAACCCCAAACAACGTGTTGTAATGTGGTGCAGAACTGACGAAGGGTACAGGCAACGGCGGTTGCAGACTTGGGCACAGCATGGCACAGCATGGCACAGCATGGCACAGCATGGCACAGCATGGCACAGCATGGCACAGCATGGCACAGCATGTTCACCCTGACGTCCAACGATATCAACGACCTTCGAACGAGATGCAGTCCATTGGCTGGCACTTCAACCAACCAAGCGACAGTGCCAGGGCCTCACTGCGAGTTTCGCCGAAGTCACACCATATCAGATCATACCAGCACTATCTCAGCACACCCAGAGCACACCAGAGAGAACACCTGTCACAGACGTAGCGGCCAAGAGGCACTGGAAGCCAGCATCGAAGAGCATGCCCTGCAGGATAAGCGTGGCAGCAAACCAACAAGGCCACTACACTCACAGCGAAATTTGTTAGGTTCTTTTCGCGGGTGCGGGTTGCTAGCGCAGCTCCCTTGTTGTTCATGTCACTCACCTGGCTGCAGCCCTACTGCCTTGTGCGATGAGGGCCTGATTAGGCACCTCAAGCCTGTCAGGAATCGGGAAACGTGTTTCATCAATGTACAGGGAAACGAACGAGGCACCCGACCCACCCGCGTTCCAAGAACATGCCAGGCGCCACTTCACATCAAACCCCGCAGCAACGTGCTTCACTTGCTGTCGGAAAATGTCACGGCAGCTTAGAGCGAGGTAAGCATAGCTTTTCATCTATACCGCTGCATTAAGTTGCAAGAAGTTTCCATCTCCTACGGGCCGACACAGTGGCTCACCATGTACGCCTCGGAACACATTCCATGAGACTTGTGACAGCGTCTCATGCAGCGGTTCGACAAACACATTTGCTTGAAAGTCACACAATGCTTGAACAACCGAACATCAGAACTGCCCTACCTCGGCGAGTCACAGCTCCTCCTCACCGACATCCATGCGAACCGCAACATCCGCAACTCATCCCTGCCTTGAAAATGAAGCCATCCTCCACGTGCGGAAAGCTCCTGAACCCGACAGAGAGTGGAATGCTTGCTGGACGCCAATTTGAAGAGGCCTCTTTCAAGCTCCGAATTGGGGACATAAGCACAATCAGATTTATAGCCAACACGATACAGACATATGCGGACCTCTCCTTCGGTTGCACTGCCATCCATATCCTGGGCCAGGCCGAGGTTCGAAGCCCAAGCCCATGTCACAGGCAAGATCCTGCACTCAGCAAACAGTACAAACACATACAAACACCATCAAAAACCTTCAATCCTACCCGCATGTCGCATCTTGTCGCCCATCATCACTCGTCCAGTTCGAGAGGCAGAAGAGGCCCACTCCAAACCTCGTTCAAACCGGTGGATGCCCAGAGAACCCTGACAATGAAGTCCTGATCGAAGAACCATGGGCACCTGGACGGCCGAGCAAGACCAGGTCTTGACACTGACAGAAAGCTTGACTCAAGGATGTGTGCCACTGATGCGACAAACTCTCACAAGGCCTAAAACACCGAAACGTTTCCCATGCCAAGACTTTCCAAGTCCCCAGCTGCACATGATTCTGGAACGTCACATTCAATACCTGCTGCGCCCTGCAGGACGGCAAGTGGGGTCCGTGGGCTCGACACCAAAGAGTAAGCGGAGCAGCGGAGTCAGCACTCTAACCTAATGCGGTTGTGCTCCGTGGTGTTCACACATGGCCTACGGATGAATTCACTGGAGGACTGGGCACAATGGTCAGATTGGGTCGTGAAGTCCTTGCGACATTCATGCTCAAAGCCACCGCAGCTGAGCTTCAACGCGTAGAAGTACGGACTCTCTTGCACTCGGGCGACATGCCTGCCCAGCAGCCCTTCCCAGATGCTGCAACAAGTTCCGAAAGCCCAAACCACCAAAACGCCAGACCCAAAGGCGAAGTTCACGAGGGTTTCAAGGTGGGATTCAAGGGTTTCGCAGGCTTCATGAAGGGCTTCGACCTTCAGGGAACGTCTGCTGAACATGTCTGCCAGGCTGCCGGACCATCTGCATTGGTGCTGGCGGTACATGGCCCCTAGCAGGCTAGAGAAAAAACGAAAATTCGCCTCGGCTTCCGAGGCGTCTCGAACAAGCAGACCAGGATCTGGTGTCCTTCCTTTCCAAGGCTTTGCCCAAACAAAAGTTTGCAGTCCACCCCCCCCTCCCCCGTGGGACCTGCCCGAACCGCTTGAAGGAGCAGCAATCCAATGCCAAAAGGCGCGAAAACATCGAAAGGCCTGCCTTCGTGGATGCCCCGCCCAAAACCCACCCTTGGGACCCCATCCTGGCAGTGACATATGACTTTCGTGCCGCTTTGTCGTCCCGTAGTCGTGTCCGCGGAACTCTACCTGCCACCCTACAGCTCCCTGATGTAGGAGCTACAGTATCCTGCTGCTTTCGAACAGGAAACTGCGGATATTCACTCTCCGCGGAATGTAGCCTGAGGTTGGGCACTCCAAGGATACTCGGCAGAACTCTTGCAGGCTTTTCTGGAGGTGGATACTCCACAGATACTCGGCGGGTCGGGCGTGGGCCATCTCGGCCTGATTCTTTGCGGGAGTCTCTGGAGGCACTGCATGGATATACACTCTTCTCTGGGGATGGGCAACACGTGACATGAATTCAAATTTAGGGCTGAAGCAGGTACAAAAGCGGTCTCAGGTGTCTTCAGCAACGAAGGCAAGGAGGCCAAGATCCAGCAAAGTCCAATACAGAAAGGCATGAGATCCCTGGTGTTGTTCTTTCTAGGCAAGAGACTAGGCCACTAGGCTAGTCCAGGCACCTCGCTGCGGCACACAGCCAGTACAGCACGAGGTTGAGGAGCATCAAGAAAGCCACACATGAATGACAGAATTTGGCTGTCCAGTGGAGGGGGTGCTGGCTTGAGCCTGTCTGCGGAAAGAGTTCAAGGAACACACTCGAACGATCGGCATTCCTTTGCACGCATCAACGCTTCAAAGCCTTCAACAGGACTCGCGCCATGGCTCACTTGGGGATAGGCCGGACAGGTTCTCGAGCGTGAGCGCACTGCAACAAGCTGATCACAGGACATGCGCCAGGCCTCCTGTCGAGCAATTTCATGCGCAACCTGCGCAACTGATCGCACATGCGCGCATCCCGCACGCAGCCTTCCGCAAAAAACTGAACGACATTGAACACTCACATGCGAATGCGGTTTCAGACAAGATGTGGCAATGCTTGGGCTGAAGCCCGTCTCGGCGGATAAACGCTGCTTCCTTCTCATACTGTCAGAGAAATGTCGGAAAGAGCAGGGTGCGGAATGTCAGAGCCCTCCAACAAACAGGCACACACTTTCCTAGATCTGCCTGGTTACGGTGAAGCCTCACAGCCAACTCTCGACCAGCAGAAACCAGTCTAAGATAGTCTATGGCAGAGTCCAGCACAACAGCCTCGTTCCGCAGTTGTTGGAACGCTTTGTTCTCGTTGTGAGCCGTGTCCTGTAGAGCAAACACGCTGAAACCGAGAGTTGTCCTTCACTGCAACACATTCAGCCCCGCTGGCTCGCCCCCCAGCTCACCCACCGACTCTTTCCCTGTCCTCCAAGAGCTCTAGGGCCTCATGTAGCCTCCCCAACTTTCGAAGGCAAATAGCTCGTCTGTACACGGCCTGTGGCATTGACAGCACAAGCCGTGCAGCTTGAAAGCTGATGGCAAAGATATGCGAAAAGACGCAGCAACTAGTGTAGATGAGCTGCTTTCATGGGTCAACCATCCGGTCTAAGCCACTAATCACAAAGACATGCCCAAGAAAGAGCATAAAGAGTGCCAGGCTTGTCTGGGCCTTAGCATTCGCCGGGTCCAACTGAAGTGCTCGCTTAGCATCGAGCTCTGCCACTTCCCAGCCTGGTCTCCAGGCTCGGAACTTCATCATAACTTCATGCAACTTCCACAGACGTAGTTTGTTGGCTCACAGGTCCCAAGTTCTTCCCTCAGCTGCTAGTTTCTCGATCGTGACCTCAGTTCCAGACAACCTTGCTGGATGTAGGCATTGGAGCGGTTTAACCAGTAGGAGCACTCCTTCTGACAAAGAACATGTTCTTTCGCCAATGAGGTGCCATCCAAGCTGTACGGTCCCGCCGCCCGTCCTCAGGCTCTATCGCAATGGCACGGGTGTAGGCCTGCGTACCACTCAAAACGACAAGGCGAGATTGGGGTGGCCTGCACCTGACTAGGTATGATGCAGGCTGGCCAACATTATGACTGATGTGCAAGCCTCTATCGCGAGCTCGAACTCCTGTCGCTTGAAGTGGTCGTTGCCTAACGTTACAAGCCAGGCTCTGTAGGGCTGCAAACTCTGCGAAGGCTGTTGGTGCCTGCAAGGAATATCATAGCTTGGAGCCAAGGCGCCACGCTTTTTGAATTCTTCCGCTTCAGAAGCCATGCCACACTTGTCAATTGCATCAAGTCCCCTTCCCCTTCGTAGCTAAGCAGCTATTCCGTGCTGTATCCACTGTATCATCCGGTGATATCGGGAGAAACCCAGCTCAAAGTTCAACTCTAGCTTCACCGGCATAAGTCAAACCCTTACATGCAGTGGTCTGAGAGCCGAAATCCAAAGCACAGACGACAATGCGGGAAAAGCTACACAAGCGGCCAAAGACTGTCCAACATTTGGACCTCTGTAATGCATCAATCAAGAAGAACTTGGGGGATCTTCATGCATCAAGAAAGAAGAACTTGCTGGCAAAAAACAAAGCTTCCACATGATACCAGTACAGATGAAAACTGGAACAGAGCATGTTCGATGACGCTTCACTCGGGCACCCTTACCATGCGCTACCACCAATTCACGACGGCGACAGCTTGGCAACCGACCAACCGAGGAGGTGCAGCTTCACCTTCGATGCATCAGCTATCGGTGGGGGACAAATAATGGGCCCGGTGGCGCCAATGTGTTTCCTGTTTAATTGTTCAGCCTGGTGTTTCACCATGGCCGGTGCCCAAGCGCTTCAACCCTTCTTAAAATAAGCAATACTGCCTAAGCAGTGCCCAAAGTGTCCAGTCACGCGGGGCACGCTCGGCATGCTCTGCAGAGCTCTCCGGCGTGAACCTCGGTGAACTCTCTGACACGAAATGAAGCGATTGCTGTACTCGGACTTGCCTGCATCAGTTATACATCTTCCCTGGGCACCCGGCGGAGCTTGAAAGTCGCGACGTGTGTCGTTGCTGAATGCTGGACCCAGGCCAGAGACCTTGAGCAAAGCTGGGTGCCATCGAGCACCCCGAGCCCCTCCCCCAGATAAAATTACCATGCTTTTCTTTACGGCGGGTATTGGGAACCGTCCTACTAGTACTGCCAAAACTAATCCGGCGAGGCCTCGGGCCGTAGGTTTTTGGGTAGTGCAAAGCAGGTACAGCACGCTACTATCTGTACTACGATTGCTATTGTTCCTAGTATTGATTTTATTATCACCATTTTTACGACTATGAGTATTCTCACGATTTTTACTATGTTACGATTGTTGCTATTCTTAATGATGCTACTATTATTAGTCTTACTATTGTTACCGATTACTACTATTTCGATTATTGCGAATAACACGATTATACCTCTATCACTACGATCATCACGAGAAGTGAGACTCTTGCCATTATTGCGGTTCCTATTCGTCTTTCTGTTCTGAGTTACTATTGTTACGGTTGCTGCTTATACTGTGAAAACTGTTAATTCCATTGTGTCTTTTTCATGACTTTTGCGACGTTTAAGAACTTTGTGGCTTTTTGCGACTTCATGGCGTTGATTACTTTAGTCACGTTCCTGATACGTTTATCCTTTCACTACCTTTGTGACCATGAGTCGCTTGCCAGAGCTACGACTTTTTCTCCTGCTACTGGGGGCCTCCTCCACGGCTGGCTGGTCCCAGCGGCGGTCATAAGCGCTGCCTGGATCTGCCAACGATGCGCAAGGTTTGCAGCCAAGAGATACGTGAGTTAGTTGCCGACGAGTCCTTCAATTGAGATAAACGAAGCGACGCATGTTGCACGTACCATCCTCGATGCCGTGAACGACACAGAAGTTCATTGAAGAAATGTGTCGACATCCGAAGATGCTCTGCTGGCCTGCGTGCTTCTCCGGATAGTCCACTGCCTCTCGCCTTAGGGCTGCAGGGACATGTTCCAAAAGCAACATGCATGCTGAGGCTTGTTCAGATCTCACTCAGCTGCCAAGGCAAAGCTCAACGGCCCCTGAATGCCACTTGCCATCTCACCTTTCTGTGGCTCGAGCTCGAAAGCTGCTTGTGTGCGGGACTGGCAGTTGTGACAGCAAGCAGCAATCAACGGGAAGTGACAGCACGGGCCATAATGAGGCCTGAGATCCGAAGTTGCACACCAAGCACCCAGAGCAAGTCAATGCAGTCGCATAGATGCCTTTCATCAGCCGTGCCTGGATCTGCGCATCGTTCTCCCATGCGACCTGGCAGGGTTGGCAAGTGACTAAAGGCACTATGCTAAACTGGCGAAAGAGCCGCCGCTTCTCATCGGCCCCGCTCCAAACTCTTGCAAACAAACACCCATCGTCCTCTCTCACCGCCTCTCCGTGGCTACCCATGCTCCCCTCGACGTGTGCTTGGCCCAAGTCTTCTGTCATCAAGCTCATGCCTAGCTCATCTTCTCTCACGAATCCTCAACAATCTAACCCAAGAAATCTGAACAAGTCCTCAAGGAACTCAACCCAACAGCCCAACAGTCTCGAATAGCGCCTCCAAAGGCGGGCCGAATACCTTCAAAATCACTACAGCAGGGATTCATCAGATTTATCGGAAGCTTGCAGAAGTTGACTAAATTCAAGCTCGGAGTGTTGCCTAGCCTGGCACGCCATGAGCTGCTCGATCCGCTGTCGGTGCTCACAGAGACGCCTGGGGAAGACTCTCCAGACCAAAGGCTGCGGATGCCGAGCATCGCATAGCATCACACTTCAAGAGATTTCCTCAAGGCTGGTGCCATGCACGCTCGCGTGGTAAAGCAAAGAGAAGGTCATCCACGGCCTGAGACGAAGAATCGATGGGAAGCCCATCCCCGAGGGCTGGAAAGCTCACCGTCGCTTCATTCAGATCGCAGCGTTCAGGTTGTAAAAATGCTTGCGTAACATCAGCTCATTTCAGCCCTAGGCCCTGAGACGCCATCAACTGCTCTGCCCAGCTGGCGTTTTTACAGCATTCCTCATGGTACATCTAAGCTGAGTTCCAAAGCAGTGGCTCAAGTCAAGTAGATTGTGCGAACATGGCAAAGGCATCCAGCCACTGACAGCTGAAGCTGAAAGCAGCCCCACAGCTGCAAGCCAGATCTGACGCACTGGGCTCCCCGTCGCAATCCCCGCCAACTTTCCTTGTGCGAAGACCCGTCCTGAGCGATCAACGGCAGAATGCTCACCTAAGAAAGATCGCTGGATGGCTGCCAGACCGCTAGCTAAGGGAGCGACAGCTGTACGGCCACTCCAACACCAGCATGGTCACACTTCAGCCACAGCCTGCTAGCAGCCGAGCACGGCCCGCGCAGATTGCAGAGTTTGTTCTTCGACAAGACAGTATAGCCACATCGCGTGTTCACACGAACAGGATACTCTACTCAGGGCTTGGGACCGCCGCGCGATCTACAAGTTGACTCTAAGCAGCTAAGCAGAGACTGCGGTGATACCTCATAACATGCACTTGCCACGTGGACTATTACTGGCAAGAGTTTGCTTCCCTGCTTGAATTACGACGGAAAATTCACATGTACAACATCAGACCTGTTGGCATACTTCGACTACTACTTCGAAATTAGCTCACAAGAAAAATGTTGTTTTAGCACAAGTGTTCCAGCAAGTGGCCGAAGGGGGGGAACAGAAGGATACAGAAGGCAGATGCCGAATTTGTTCCGAAGGGGTCTTCAACAGAAAGCCAAAGTCTGAACACAAATGAGCATAAGGCTCAGCCGCGTTGCCGGTTGCGCTCGAGGCCAGTGGCCACTGAGAGGTTCCTCGGTGCTCAAGGACAAGTAGCACCGTTGCCAGCAGCCAGGAGCACAAATGCCAATGCCTGTCATCAGCTCTGTTCAGCCTGTTCTTTTGGGTCTGTCATCATCCGTCCGATTCTCCGACTTCATCTTCAAAGTAAGCAAACCATACATTGCGTTTCAGCCAAGCATCGTGATCCTGCCAAAAGCGGTGCCAGCTACAAAGAACCTCGAGTCGGCATCCAGGGTTTCTCACCTTCTTCAATCTGGTGTGAGGAGCTTCTGGCTGCATCTCTGTCAGAATGAAATCAGAAATCAAAGGATTGACACCACCTAGGTAGGTATATAACGGCATACCTATGTATACATACGCATATATACATGATCTGTGTTTGCTCAGTGGCAGCGTAGCGACAAAAACCCTGAGGCGCCAACTGACCGACCACCAAGCGCCCCGCACGCACGAGGGCAGTCCTGGAGTTGTCTCAGAAGTACTTTCAACTTGAAGTTCAACTCGCGCGCCACCTCTGAAGCTGCTGAAAAACACCAGCAAGCGCCAGCCAAAAGCGCTCCAGCGCCATACCTCGGAACAGGTCTCAACAGCCGAGGCGCAGCATCATCTCGCCTTGCTCTTCGCCGGGCTTGGAGACCTGACAGCTCAACTGTCTCTCATGCAACTTTGTATCTGTGTGGGGATCCCCTCTACCAGAACTGATGCGATCTCCCTTATGGACTTCCACCTCAGCCAACGGTTCGCCACCCTTCTCGCAGGCCCTTTCGCTCCACAATCTGCACAGGCCTTCTCAAGACCCTGTCAGTCGCCTTCTATATCCACAGCACGATCCTCAAGCTCGCAAGAGGCCTCGAGTATCAGTGCCACGGCGGTCGGTGGAGCCTCCACCCCGACAAGGAAATCGGTGCGACGCTGCCTCAATGGCTCACGACACCAGGCCCATGAAGAGATGGAGGCATTGGAGGGCCGATGGGAATCACTCCTGGTCGCTGGCTCTTGCCTAAACAACACAGCGGATGACTAAGGGTCTGATGGTATCTCTTCACGCACAGCTCAGCTCGAGGCACGTTCCTGGATTGCTGGGCCTGTGGAGACACCCACCACCCATAATCAGGTATGGCCGTAAAGTCTTAACCCACGATTGCACATTGAGATTGATGTCTGCTCAAGCAGAAAGGACGCATGTTGCTACGGGCATCAGCATTTCTCTGTGCAGCTCCTCTAGGCTAGCGGGAGTTTCAGAATATCCAGAACCGTTCAGAACTGCAATATGTACTGTACTCTCCTGGGGCTGGCATTCGCGAAACTCCTTGTGTATCTCTTGATCTAGCTCAGGTTGAAACTAAGTTGAAACACAGAGCCCCATCGTCCGATGCCGGGCTCCAGAAACTGCCAAGGCATGCGTCTGATCTACTGGTTATTGGACTCTGCGCCCTTCCAAGCCTTTGCTCTGCTTTGCAGAAGAAGGCTCAAGCACGGGAGCCAGCGAGCCTCCCTACTGAAATTGGTCAGCGATGGCGGATGGTGGAAGTTTCTCCAACCGACTGCAACTCACCAATCCCACCATCTCCAACCATGCTCGTGAAAAGAAAAGGATGAAAGGCTTTGAAGGCGAGAAGTCAAGGTTTGGTGAAGCCATTTGAGTTCAGGTCAGCACAAACTGGCGTCAGCGTTGTCAACCCTCTTGGTCACTGCCTTATCTGCCTTCAAACCCTCTAGTCTAATGGCGGGTCCCAGGCAAACCTCTGCGACCCTGAGTGAGTTCTTCAGGATTGCCGACATCATGCTTTGCGAAATCTAGATGGGCTCACACTTCCGAGTGCAAGCTTGAAAATGAGGACCAGGACCAACTGTGCCCGCAGCACCTGCAACTGGGCACTGCTAGACGGGTTGCAACTGACGCAACGCGTTGACAGTGCTAGCACGCGTCCATGATGCCAATGCAGCTGGGAGGCAGCACTGGTTCTAATCGAGGCGGATGAGAGATCACCACCCGTGCTGTCAATGGCCGTTCCTCAAAGAATAGCAACATGTTAAGGTACTTCATGGGCTTGCCGATGGGCACCAACCCGTTCAATTTCCAAGCTTCCTCTCGGAAGGCGCATTCGGTCGCGCACCCAACCGCATGATTTGCTGGTTGCCGAACCTGCAAGACCAGTCAAGCAAACTCTGACGCAAATCAAGTTTCAGCCATGCAGCGATTTTAGTGACTATTGCAGCCACGCGGCTTGAATGTCTCCTCCCGGTGCAAACAAAAACCATCTCGAGCGTTGACAAAGGACTTGACAGGTCCGAACCGCTTCCTTGGACTCAGCACTTGATCAACTCTGATGAGTCTGGAGGATGGTCCGCAGCTTGCACACACAAGCTTGCAGCAAGATGATGCCATAGAGCCTGCATAGACTGACAGCTTCGTGAGTAGAGTACGAGCGCACTTTAATCCTCATCTGTGGCTCGGCTTGTGGTCCACAAAGCTCGCTTTGGCCTCCGGACATGTGGACACGGCGGGTGTTCATCGAATATCTCTACATTCCAAATCCGCCCAGGCCCCAAGCCCCCCTAGACCGAGGATTTTTTGGGTCCGGCACCTGGCAGGCTCAACTTCGGGCCAGTCCCCCCAAAGCTCCAGCAACTTGTTTGCAAGTTGCAAGTTGCAACTGCTGGCCATGGTTTGTGAGCTGGACATGCAGCAACGGTTTCGGCCCTAAGCTACGGGGCGCATGGTCACCTGTCGCCTTCGGTCGGCGGCGTTGTGGGCTTGCGGGCAGACAGGGGCGATGCACAGCGTGCACTTGTCTAGTTTCATTTCTTCAAATCAGGGCGTTTGTGTCTAAATTTGGGCTGCAAGGTAAGGTGGGTCCAAACACACGACTGGAGAGCTCACTAGGCGAGAGTGTTGGGGACCCTTCGGGAACCCACCAATCTTCATCGGCGATTCCGAGTTCACGATTGGAACTGGACATAGGCGAGAAATGGCAAGAAAGTATTTTGCACGACCCGCACATCGTCGAAGAATTCAGCCAGCACAGGACATAGCGAGAGCGCCACAGATGTCAGTGCACGAATCCCGCCGGTCCCCAAAGCCAAAACGCCACGCCTTCCAATAGAATTCATGGCAACTTTAACAACAAAACTGACACCCTTTATCTACTCTACTGATCGCCTGAGTTCTACAGTTGGCTCTAACTGGCCTCGCTCATCTCCGGGTAGATCTCATAGACACCTACGGTGTTGGACCAAATCGACCTGGCCGCTGCCACGAACGAGGCCAAAACAAAAACGGTGGCTCACATTTGAAGCCACTGATGGCTAGCGCATCACTGGAGGCATGTAGCATGAATCACGTGTAACCCAACCGTCAAGCATCGTTCCTTGTAAGAGCAAGACCTGGAAACTACTGAACAGGCTCCGTTGTTGAAACCTCTCGCAACCCCATCTGCCTCGACACAGCCCGGTGCCTGGCAAGCCGATGGCGCGCAGATGCTCGCTGTGCCGCTTGCTGATCGCGACAAAACATGTAAAACATTGTGATGGGCACCTGTACTCTATGTAGTCCACCGAAGAATGGCCGACAGGTACTTACATGACAACGCATGCCCTGCTCAAAATAACCTTCACAGGCGATCCAATGAAAACCTCCATATTATATTCTGGGCGTCTTGCAGCCATCGTGCCTGGAAGGCAGAACCGGTGCGGTGCCAGGCTCCACCTAACCACAACATGCAGGAAGTCGATAAAAGACGACTCGAGCTTACCTGTCCCTCCACATGGACCCTTTCAATTGTCAGTCATGCGGGCCTGCCACTTCGGCGCATCCGAGAACAGGCCGCCATCCACCTTCCGCAAGTGCTGCACTTGCCTCAGAGCAACAGAGATTGATTGGAAGAGGCAGGAATTGAAACAGAGCAAACTTTCGGGCAAAGAGTAAACGCGCGGAAGTCATGTACATCCCTGGCATCTTCATGGTCTTATTCTTCGCAAAGGTCATCTCCACCATTCTCCACCCACCCTCCGTCCCAAAAGTCCAAAAATCCTGTCTGCCGTCTCTCGCCGGCCTGGTGGAAGCCAGCGGCTCCTCAGCTCAAGCAAGCTCCCCAGAGAGAGGGCAGAGAGGAAGAGAGAGTGACCGAGCTTCTTCGGAGCGCAGACGATGACTCTGATACAGCAGCACACTTCCCGCATTCCTAACTCCCCCCCCAAACTCTCCACCAAAGCGTTGATTTCTTCCGGGAGTCGATTTTCTGAAGCGCGGGGCTCGAAAGGGACCGTGAGACCATTGCCTCAGGTCTTTCTGCAGAGGGATGACGACTTGCACGAGCAGTCACGAGCAAGCCGCATCTTACGAGCTTCTGGCGCGGTCAACAGCCCACTGGCCAGCTGCAGAGCGGTCCTTGCCCGGTCCTCTATCTGCTCTCTTGCTCGAACTATGTTAGCCTTGCGGCATGCGACTGCCGAGTGCTGGACTCTAGATAATGGACAAGCAGAATCTCAGAACTTAGCCAACGCCATGCATCTCATAACCTGCAACCTGCTTTCGCCATGATTGCCACATGCGAGGCTCTTGTGTACGACCTTGTAAAAATTTGGGAAGCTTCCCAACTTCTTGGGCCAATATGAGGCATTGCAAGACTCCAGACATCCCAGAAGATGTCCCATGTCCACAGGATGCCGCAGCTTTCCCTCCCAATGCTTTGCGGCGATTGCCTGTCCTGATTCCAACTCTGTTGCCGCCTACCTAAAGTAGAACTGAAACGTTGCTCCTCAGGTTCTTTCAACGCGTCACCAGCGAGCTGCAAGGTAAGCTCAACCAACTGCATGAACAGGAGACTGTTCAAGGAACCCTTGAGACCCCGAATTTGGAGAGGCCTCTCCAGGCGTGATCGTGAGGGGCTGGGCCGGTCGAAGTGGCAACTGAAGGGGCGAAACAGACAGACAGAGAGAGAGAGGGGGAGGGAGACCAAAGGCTGAAGTCGGCTTAGACAGCAGCCCTCGAAAGACTGTTGGAACCGCTTAGCACGCCTTGGCACGCCTTGGATATCAATGCTGGACTTCATGGGAACCCTCCTCCAACTTTGAGTCAACCTTGAGTCCAATGATCCGGAAGACGAAGCCCCAACAGCCTGGGGCAGGGCATCGGCTGCGGCTTGCACTTTGGCCACCAGCGCCTTTCAAATTCACGCGTAGAGAACACTGGGCCAAAGCGAACGGCAGGGCGGAATAGGGCGAGGCTTTGAGTTGGCGATTTGGCCTCCAAGTTTTGCCGATACAAGGCTGAGATTGGGATCGCTTCCTCTGCCTGGCAGGAAAAGTTGTAAGTTGCAAGGGGTCCGAGCAACTTGCAGCCGTTATTGAGCTTTGGCGGGTCTATGCTCGGCCTCCTTTGTCCAATCTACGTCCACCAATCCATGCTCATGAAGGAGCTGACCTTCAGAAACCAGTGCTAACAATTCATTGAGAAGAATTGCTAAGCTGCACATGTGCAAGATGCCTCTGCTGAAGGCACTCAAGAAATCACAGGTCCGAGGGCACAGCACTGCCGCCGGAGTTCAGCTCGCGTGAGTTCGAGGTGGGAGCTGGCAGATCTCTCTGTCGCAATTCCCTGTTGTTATGTTTCAGTCTGGTTGCAGCCCTCACGATGCACTAGTGATCCGTCTGCAGCTGAAAAGACACATTCAATAGACGTCAGGCTTGGGCGAATCTGAACACGGCACTGTTTGCTATAGACATAGGCAGGGCACGGCACAGCGTGGCACAGCGTGGGAGTCACACGAGGTTGCACAGTCTCAACCGCGTGCTGCTTCGACTTAGGCCACATGTCGTGGCAAAGCGGTGCCAAACGCTGACCACGCAGCGAAAGCAGCGCGACCGAGCTGGTGGACTGGCTACAAGACTGGATTTGGGCTACAGTAGAATCGCCTGAAAAGATTCTCCAAGTTCATACCTCTCTAGTGTTGTCACAGCCGAAGACTGCGCCAGCAGCGCTCGGGAAGGTCGATTTTGTTGAGCGCAAAGACAACAGGCACCTGGCAAAACAGCGACTGCTTCCAGCAAAGTAGCTTTACAGCGTCCACAGCAGCAGCCTCAACAGACATGAGCGCCCCAGAAATCGGTTCATGAACGAACACGTGATCCCTGCCAGGCCTTCCATCTCGAGGCGTGCATCAGGACCTGCACGTAGTACAAACGTCCAAACCGCAAGCCTGCGTTCTGAGGCTGCAAATGGGACTGAGATGGCTATTGCCCATATTGAAACTTAAGAACGTAAGAAAACGCCAGAGCCGATGGGCAAACCATCGCCCGTTGATTTCCCGTGCTACCTCCTCAGTTTGCAACTCGGCACCACGCTCCACGGAAATCACGACGAGCGCAACCTGGGAGGCACTTGCCCGCGTGTTGTCTGTGAAAATGTTGTCATTCATGTTGGCCATATTGTCCATACTGTAAGTTTGCAACGTAGTCAAATCTGACATTCGTTGCCATTCTTGCCAATCTTGCCATGATTGTCACTATTGTCATTCGCCTCGGCTTCCTGCCGAGAAGCGTCTGGAACAAGCAGACCCGGATCGGGCCTCCTTCCCCCCTAACCCAACCCTTCCCCCCATTGCAAAATTTTCTGACGCCACCCCCCCCCCCCGCCCTGTGGGACCTCCCCCAATCGCTTGGAGGAGCTGCAAACCGATGCCGTGGGGGGTCCCGCCTGTCGGTGGCTCCTACAGGGAGAGTGCCTCAAAACCCCCCCCACACCCTCCACCACCCCCACCCCCCCCCCCCCCCAGCCCCCCCCCCCCCACCCCCCACCCCCCCCCCCACCCCGCGGGGGGGGGGCCCCATCCCTCCCCCCCCAGCCCTTTGACCTCTCTGCCTTCCTCCCCTTTTTTTGCGAAACCCTCTTTCCTCCTTTCCTGTCCTGGGGCCGGCCCGGCTGCCGAGGCGGCGCGCGCAAGCGTTTACAATTAATGCTATGTGATTCTTGTCAGTTTTGTCATTCTTGTACTCGTGTCTGAATAATTGTAATAGGATTAGTAGTAGTAGTAGTAGTAGTAGTAGTAGTAGTAGTAGTAGTAGTAGTAGTAGTAGTAGTAGTACGAATAATAATAATAATAGTAGTAGCAGTAGTAGTAGTAGTAGTAGTAGTAGTAGTAGTAGTAGTAGTAGTCGGTAGTCGTCGTAGTAGTAGTAGTAATAATAAAAATAGTAGTAGTAGTCGTCGTCGTAGTAGTAGTAGTCGGTAGTCGTCGTCGTAGTAGTAGTAGCAGCAGCAGTAGTAGCAGCAGCAGTAGCAGTAGCAGTAGCAGTAGCAGTAGCAGTAGCAGTAGCAGTAGCAGTAGCAGTAGCAGTAGCAGTAGTAGTAGTAGTAGTAGTAGTAGTAGTAGTAGTAGTAGTAGTAGTAGTAGTTGTTGTTGTTGTTGTAGTAGTAGTAGTAGTAGTCGTAACAGCAGTAGGAGCAATAGACACCGTTGTCGTAGTGGTAGCAGTGGTAGTAATGGGAGTAGCGGTAGTCGTGGCAGTAGTGGTAGTCGTGGTAGTAGTGGAGTCGTGATCGTGCTGGTAGTAGTGGTAGACATGAGTGGTTGCGGTAGGAGCACCACCACTCTTGTCAACAAAAATGTTTTGAAACAGCTTCCGCGGGAAAAAAGATCATTCCATACGTTGCCAAGTGCAAACCCAGCCAGAACAAGCATTTAAGTACGTGGTGTCTGTAAACCTTTTCTGAACAAGCATGGTAATCTCGCGCGTAGCATGTGTACATTGTAAGAAACTCATTCAGCCCAAGTGTCAAAAGCCCCCATCCCAAAACACACAAGAAATCGAAAACCAAAATCCCAAACTCAAGAAAATAGAAGCAAAACAAATCCCACACCGTCCGAAATACCTACGTCAACGCGCGCCTCCGTTTTGATGGTACACCAAAGACAGTTCTCCGGATTTCAATCCGGAAAAGTAACCTCTGCACCTAGAAAGCACTTCGAATAGCTTGCCTCCAGTAATTTGCACGTATGCTACAAACTTGGTACTTGGCGGAGGTCTTACGATGGGTTATTCCTCACGGGTTGCCTTCCGAACTGTCTTCACGACATGACCACACATGCCACCCCTCAACAAAATCCCCACATTTTGCAGATTTGGGTGAGCTGCGTGCCCTTCAGTGTGTCCATGCTCAAATCGACTCCCGTGCAGATCCGTGCATGCTCATACATGCAATACACCCACAGCTCCCTCGCAGAACTGCCCTAGACCTGAAACCTCACCCCGCTAGATAGCCCTTCGCATCTGCCTTAGCTCATGAGCCGGCAATAGCCGGCAGCTCTTCGAAAGTAAGATTGAGCTTTTTTACGAGTACCATGCAAGGGGTGACAAGCAAATCAGCCATAACTCAGCAAACATGAGGGCACATCAGAAAACAAGACAGGGCAAATCAAGAAAAACCAGGGCACGAATCAGAAAACAAAGTCGCCAACAGTGGGCGCAACGCACCTGTGTACTGTGCTTTCTGCATCAGTGCAGAGTTCCCTGGCGGGCCGTCTCCGTAGCCTAACCCTAAGCCTACGCCCTACAAAAACCCTAATCCCAAAAAGACCCTAAACCCTTAACCCAGCCCTGAACCCAAAACCCTGGAATCCCCCAAGCCCTAAACCCTAAAAAAACCCTAAACCCTAAAATCCCTAAACCCTCAAAACCCCTGAATCCTAAATTCTAAAAACCTGGCCCTAAACCCTAAACCCTAAAAAACCCTAAACCCTACACCCTAAACACCCCCAAGCCCCAAGAGCCCTAAGCCCTACACCCTAAGAACCCCTGAGCCCTAAACCCAAAAAACCCTAAACCCTAAAAACCCCTCAACTCCAAACCCCGAAAACTCTAAACCCTAAAAAACCCTAAGCCCGAAACCCCAATAAATGGAACCGGAAAAAAGCCTAAACCCTGAAAACCTATGATGCGAGCATTGTGTTTGCAAATGGGGGGAGGGGGGGGCTGCCCACCCCCCCCCCCCCTCCCCATACCCCCGTTTTATTCTTTTTCCGACCCATCATGCGAGTGTCGTGTTTGCAAATGGGAGGGGGGGAGGGTAAAAATCCCGAAACCCTAAACCCCAAAAGACTCTAAACCCTAAAAACCAATAAGCCCTAAAACCCTAAACTAAACCCCAAAAACCCCGAAACCCGAAACCCCAAAGCCCCAAAAACTCAAAAACAAAAACCTGGGGCCTAAACCAAAAATATCAAAAACCCTAAAAACCCTATACTCTAAACCCCCAAGAACCCTAAAAAATCAAACCCCAAAAAACCCTAAACGCTAAATCCTAAAAACCCCCTGAAGCCTCAAGCCCTCAACCCAAAACAAAACCTGAGCCCTAAACCGAAAAAACCTTAAACCCTAAAACCCCCTAAGCCCTCAACCCTAAAACACCCCAAGACCTACACCCTAAGAAGCCCTAAACCCTAAACGCTGAAAACCCTTAACCCTAAACCCTAAAAACCCTTTCTTTGAATAAAGCAAACCTTGCTGCTCGAGCGCAAGTGGTAAACGGCGATGGCCCGCCAGTGAGAGAGACCGATGTAAATGCATGGCTGTCCATGCATGCTGAGTCGCCCTCGTTGTTTGCTGATTCTGCCCGTGCTGTTTTCTGAACCATGGGTGCGTGATTCATGGTCTTGTTTTCCGATCTAGGCAGCATCCATCATGCAAGCGTGGCATTCTCGCTTGAGCATGCTGCCACGCTCGGTTATGTAGGTCTTTATCACACATGTTTGCTTGCATGTTGGGCGAGCCTCTATCCGATCTATCCGTTTTGTGACTTGAACTGTGAGCAAACCGAAACTGAAAGCTAAGCACCCACGCATCTGCAGCAGCCATTGTTCGGCCTCGCCTGAACACGCGTACGAGAAGGGAGGTAAACATCGACACATCCCATGACAGTAGCAGGCATTTCCAAGCCGGTTTGGCATGAGATATCCTTCGTCTCTGAGTCCTCACGTCCCTACATCCAACGTTCTCTGCCGGCTTCCCTTGGATTCCGGGATTCCGACGAAAGCTCGAACGCAGCATGCCCTGGGGTGTCAAGGAAGGTCCTGAGTCGAGCTGGAATTTTGTTGGAGCCTGAGATTGACTGAGCCGAAAGCAGTTACCCTCAGCAGCAAAATCAGAACAAGCCAGAATTGGAGCCTGCAGTGGCCTGCGGGTTCAATCAAGCTTTGGTGTGGGCTCATGGGACAAGTAGCCAGTGGTTCAGGAAAACGCAAATGGCGACGGGACCCTTAGGCCGCAGCATGCGTCGGTTACTTCTTCCTGCCGTGATGGGGACAACCATGGAGAACCCAAAACTACGGAGCAGTGCTGGATGCATATCTTTACGTCTCTCTACGGGCACAGAACTGTGCGGCTTTCCGTCCCTTTCAACCCTTCATGTCCCTTCCATCCCTGGCCTTCGGTCTCGGAACCTTCGACAGCCGTTGCCGCCTTTGCCAAGCCAGGCTTCGGGAACGCATTTGGGGGTTGCGGCTTCAGGCCGGGGATACCGTCTTGACTACTATTGAGTCTTGACAGTATTGCAGTATTGACAATACTGATAGTATTGGCAGTATGGACGGTATTGATCTACTCTGAGATGCCACGCGGAAGCCGTACCAAGGGAGGCATCGATTTGGGCACTCTTACCCTTGAAACAGCAAAACTATGCCCCGTATCAGTAAAGAGTAAAAAGTCTTGAACCAGCAATCCTAAAGTCTACACCCTCGCAGTGTTTGACACTGATTGCATACTGCCCCCTCAACAACTGCATACAGATCATGCGGAGAGAGAGAGAGAGAAAGAAAGAAAACAAATGAGACACGCACACACGCACACAGAAACACGCACCAACACACACACACACACACACACAACACACACACACACACACACCCACACCCACACCCACACCCACACCCACACCCACACCCACACCCACACCCACACCCACACCCACACCCACACCCACACCCACACACCCACACCCCCACACCCCCACACCCACACACCCACACCCACACACACACACACACACACACACACACACACACACACACACACACACACACACACACACACACACACACACACACCACACACACACACACACACACACACACACACACACACACACACACACACACACACACACACACACACACACACACACACACACACACACACACGCAGTGAGACAGAGACAGAGACACAGAGAGACAGAGAGACGGAGAGACGGAGAGACAGAGAGACAGAGAGGCAGAGAGGCAGAGACGGAGAGACAGAGAGACGGAGAGACCGGTGCGCCCCATCGCCTGCGCCTCACCTCCTGCTCGGCGGCCTCAAGACAATGAATGTGAAGGGAAAAGAATGAAAAGAGGGTGCGGGAAAGGTGGTGCCGGAAAGGGGAGAGCAGACACTTGCAGATCGAACAGAAGCCTTGAAAGAAAATCATGACAGCACCTAAGCATATGCTGCTCCTCATCTTAACCAGGCTGCCGACCCCGTGATGGCACGTCCAACTCCATGATTCCCTCCCCCATGCTGCCCGTCATTGCTCTCACATCCTCTGCAAAAAGGACAGGACGTGCAGGGGTACAGCGCTGGGTCGCAATCCTACCAGCTTCCATCACGGTCTTGCGTTCCTTGCATTCTTGCCTGCGTTATTCTGCCTGGCTCGTTCTCGGCCACGTTTGTGCCACAGAAGGCATCAAGGAGCGTGGTCTTGCCATGGTTGATGTGTCCCAACCTGAAACGAAGACGAATAAACAATGAATGCAATGAATGTAATGAATGAAATAAATGAAATTAATGAATGTAATGAACGTAACGAACGTAATGAATGTAATGAATGTAATGAACGCAATGAATGTATTGAATGCAATGACTGTAATGAATGTACTGAATGTAATGAATGTAATGAATGGACTGAACGTACTGAGTGTACTGTTCCCGCCCGGGAACCACCAAACGCTTGTCTTGCAAACTATAACTCGTGTATGCTTCTGATGTCTTGAAAAGAGTCCTGGCATGCGAATCGCGGGCCTACCACATTCAAACTGCAGAAAAACCTGAATTGAGGATAACCTCCTGGTTTCCCAAAAACCAGAAAGCCCCTCTAAATCCGTACAAGAACCAAGCACCAAGCATCAAGAGTCGTGAAACGAAAAGCCACGCGTATTCTGGGAAGCCGTGCACGGCCACCACGGGCACTGCATTGACGGCAGTGCTGATGGATGTCCTGTCTGGCCTCGATCTCACTCAAAAGAACTGCACTTTCAACTTTACACACGAATCCTGCACGACTTGTTCCATGATGCTTGGCGGCCGGAGTAAGTCTCGAGGAACTTCTAGAACACTAGCTCGTAAGTCCCGAAGCCATTCAGAACACAACTGCACACCAACTCTCAGCTTTCAACTCTTTAACGCCTCAATCGTGTAAACATTGTCTTAACATATCCTAAGACAAGTCTTCGCATGTCTGAACCCTCGACGACTCACTGTCAAACGTTCGGGCCGCTCCTAAGTTTAAGTCCCTTGAAACCATAGTAACGAACATCGAACACTCCTAGAACGCAGCAAGCTGTGTTCTGTTTTGCCCGCGTTGCATGCTAACATGAAGCTAGCGGATTGTGCCTCTTTGAGCCAGGTGTCTTATCATTCATGCAATGGCAACGATCATACATCAAAGGCTGATGGTGCTCTGACCTAGTTTGCTGAAGTAAGATCGCCACGGATGAGTGCCTCTTGGCGGGCTGGTGCAGGTCCAGTCCGGCTCGACGTCCACCTAAATGGCTTGGGATCGTCATGACACGCACACACACACACACACACACGTTCCCAATATCGAGGAAGCTAGTGATACACTTGTTCAAGCTTCCAGTGTGCGATTTGAGCCCGGCAGCGAAGTTGAGGCCGTTGTTGAACTTCTCTGGTCATTGATAAAAGCAATGAAGTCTGGGGACCTTCCCTATGCCGCGAAACAGCCGCTGGAGATGCGTCCAAGGCAGGGACAAGCTTGGGCACATAACCAAAAGCTCGCAGAGGGGTGGCAGCCATGTCAAAGGGAACCAAGACCTGACTCCAAATACACAAGGAAAATGGTGCAACAAAACGGCTCCAGAGCTTTCACGTCGCTTTTCATCGTTGCAACATCCAAGGCAAATCTCACATGTACGGTACAGTCGCTCCCTGATACTAGTCAGCAAATGCAGCCCTCAAACACCGAGCAGTGGCATCAACGACAGCCCCTGGCAAATTCCTGTGCCTTGCGCTTGGAAGTCGACTCGAACTCGCGGCCCTCGAAATCCTGCAAAAGACCCGAGCATAGACCGTTCACTTGGCCGCAAGAACTGTCTCTCAGCTACACCGCGAAACCCCAGCTTCTTGCATTTCCTGCAAAAGCATGCCTTCACAAACAAAAGCAATTTGTGCACGTCTTCTCGCTTCGGACATCCTTCCAATAGTACTTTTTATCCATAGATCCTCAGTCAGCATGGCGATAATCAAGGTGTTGCATGATCTCGTTCACAATGCACATGCTAAGTCGGCCACGAACTCCCAGCATGCGCATGGTATTGGCGTAATCTAACCTGCACAATCAACGCAAAGATTGTGGGGGTGCTGGCTCAATACAGTCCTCTAACGAGACACCAACACCTCAAGCAACAGTCTCACTCCCCTGCCCCAACTTTGCCAAGTCCGAACTGAGCCCATTCTCCAGGCCTGAAAAGAATGCGCAGCTCCGTTGCAGACACGAAAGGTGGCAACCTGTCAAGCCCCGCTTTGCCCAATCGCACGAGCCCATGTCTAGGCCCAGCCGAGAGGCAGCATTGTTTCGTCTCTGTGGTTGCGCGTTGCTTTGCCAAGGCTATGGCGAGCCACCTGCAGTCGGGGCTCCAGACATCCCAAAGCCACTGCTATGGAAGCGAGCAACTTATGTCCCCAGCTCTCTTGGTACATCTTGGAACATCATGGACATCTGGATCCTGCGCTTCCCCATGTCTTCCTGTCGTGCGTTCCATCCTGGCTTTGCTTCCTTCATCTTCCTTGATTTGGTTCGTGCTTCTTTCCGCAACGTGTTTGTTTCGTTGCTCGCCGGGTCGTTCTGGCATCGTTCTTCCTTCTGCAGGCTCTTCTGCTTCTGATAGGCATTACGTTTGGCCCTCCACGAGCATGCTCGGTTGCAAATTCTGGGCTTGCATATTCAAGAAGTTTGAAAGCATCCCACTGCTCAAAGTGACTGGAGGCCCCCCCGTCCCCTGTCATACTCGCAGCTGTCATTTGAAGCAAACTCTGGGTAGGCTTCTGTTGCGGTGTTTGTTTATTGCAGGCGTGGGGGCTCTCTTTGTGCTTTTGCTGAGCATATTCTATTCCCTCTACATGTTCATAGGCAATATCTTCTTTCCTCTTTAGCGTGAAACCTCGATTTTCTAGTTCTCTATGGTTGAAAAAAGAAAACTCGGCGTTTTACTCGCCAAACCTATACGTCATCCATAATGTACTTTCTAATAAAGAAACTTCTATTCCTGTACGTCTTTTGCTGCAGAACATCTATTTCTCTAAGGTTGGAATCGGAAAACCTCCATTGCAACCAAACTTGCAAAAGCAGAGGATTACAGAGGGTACAGGCCCCTGTTTGCCTTCAGAGGTATAGGGCTTGGGGTGTTGAGGGGGCTATGGCTGTAGCAACTTGCAGGCTCTATCGCAGAGGTGTTATAGGTCTCGGGGCTCTAGGGTCGCAACCCCGCCAGTTTCGGTTTTGGATGTTGTATCCTAAAGTTGCCAGCCGTGGGCCTTCTGGTCCCCAAAAAATGAACAAACACTGCAACACAAGCAGCCCGCCTTCCGCGGCACATAAACACAGCCGCGGTGCCGTGCCTGAGCCAGAAGCACTGCAACCACTCCAATCTCCTGGCAAGACTGCCTGCCTTGATGCCGAAGCAGCGCACAGCCTTGCGAACTGCAATTGCTGACTGCGCGGACTTGGGGTCACGCCCTGGAACATCAAGGGCTTTGGGCAGACGAATCGTTGTCCCTGCCCTTCGTTATCCTCGTAGTCGCCTCCCGTGGCCATCCTTGAGAAAGCGGGATCAATGGCAGCACCGGATCAACTGGACCTCGGCACGCGAAGATGCTCCAAAGCCACCGGTCCGCTACCCGTGTCTTCACTGCACTGTAGCTCCAGACGAAAGATCGAGGCCACACGAACAACCCTGGCCAGATTACAGGAGATAATGGCTGATTGTCTCTTTTGCATGAGTGCAAGCATCTTCGCTTATGAAGGTGCCATAGTATGACTGACAGCCCTTCCTCACCTCGCCATTCGGAGCAATGAGCATTGGCAGCGTCGCTTGCCGCTGTGCTGGAGACCGCGCGCTGTGTGTTGGATTACTTCAAGCTACGAAAAGTTTTGCAGGCTCTGTTCCAAGTAATGAAGTACGTGTTGCATGTTCTTCTTCTGGATGCGTAAGAGTGCTCTGAGTGCTCTGGTGTGGCCATGGGTTTGCAGCAGGAAGATCAGGAATCGTGTACGCGGAACCATGGTCTCGCAGCCATGACGTGCATCAAAGGTCGCATCGGCTTCGGCTTGAAGATGCAGATTGTTCACAGTGACAATATTGTGCCTTCCCCAGCTTTTTTGACAGCTTCAGGCATGCCAACCAGCATGTTCCGTCATAAAAGGCTCGGCTATCCCCCAAGCAGCTCTAGAGATCAAAGGAAGCTTTCTAAAACCCTGCACTCACTGTCTTGCTGAAGCCCACATATGATGAGACTGATATGCTAATCCTATATGAATATGTGACTAGTTTTGCTTTCTTGTCGGACAGGGTTTAGGAATCTAAGCTGATTCGGTCAATGGAGATTTGGCAGTATATGAACCCATACCTAGTGAGGCATGTCTAGATAACGTTTGGTTGAGGAAATTAGGCGTAACACCCCGAAAGCCACCGAAAAATTGGGCCACCAGGGTGGCCCTCCAGGAAGATGTGAAGCAAACCATTAAAGCGCGCAGCTCTGCTCCCTCTTTGACATTTTTCCCGAAGCCAGCATCCAGCTGCTTTTCGATGAGCAGCTAGGCAAAAGCTTTGTGATTGCTTCACGAGGCCGCTCTGAAACGACGACACTTTGATGGGATTGTCGGGGCTAGGCTGAACTGAGCCTCTAATTGGAACTAGGTCTTAAAGTCTCTTCAGGGGCCGAAATACTGTATGGCGGCCTTGCCAAGTTTAGGCTTTTGGGTGTCCAACTTCAGAACAGCCCCATGCTTGCTGGCAGCCCTAGAAGCGGGCCGGGTCCTCTATGCAATTCCAGACAGCCGACAAAACTCACCAAGAAACCACTTAGAGTCCAAAGCTGGGGGCGCGAAAGAGTTTGCCAGCACTTTCGGCGTGCCTCTCGGCACATGTTGAAGACAGCACAGTCTTGGCACAAGTGTTGAAGCTGAAAACACCATCCGAACCCGTCGGGACCGTGCCAGCTTGTGTAGCTCCCCAGAATCGGACTTAAGGTTCGGCTGCAGAGACGAATTCGCAGCCACGGATTTGGGAATAAGTGCAGCTCTTTTCTGCAACAAGAGCCTACCTGTTTCGAAAGACACACTCCAACCCTCCCTCATCCACCAGCCAGAAGCCACTCTAGTGCATCAGAAGGAATTCACCTGTTGTACCATCTATTGCAGCGCTCTTTGTATGGGCTGTTCCAATCTTCATCTCGCAACAATGTTCACGAGCCGCCACTCCCTTAGACGTGTTCCTCACTTTCTCCCAGGTTCCCGCCTTTCTTCCAGTCATTTTTTCTCGATAATGGTATGCCCCTTCGTCTCGAGATTTCGAGGATGTGTTTGAGAGCCGCCCTGGTCAAGGCGTGTGCGCGCCAATTACATGCTGCAGGGCTCATCCACCGAAGCATAGGGCACTTGACTGATGCTTAGTTACGCAGATCCAGATGCATGCAGTGTGCAAGGAAAGAAAACTGCATGACCCAAATCCCGGCAGGCTACGACTGGCAGTGCCTTTTGCACGTCTGCCTTCATTAGGTGATTTGGAGGAAACCGAGAACAGCAAAGGCCTCCATGAAGACTTATCCCAGTCAAGCCTTGAGCTGACATCGCTGTTGACATTCCCGCACTACATCAGCCGCTGGTCATGTAATTTTTTGAGAGGACTGCATGCCAATTACAACTCTAGAAAGGCGCAAGTAGCGTTCACTGGCCATCTCGGTTGCCGTGCATGCAAAGCGAAGTCTGTCTTCGTACTGATAAGATGGAAAAAGGGGTCTTGCAAAACCTAAACGTTGACACGTCTCATGGTGTCTCCGTACTGGTTGCAGCAATTGTTGGCTTCTCACCATTCTCGCACGGACGCAGGCACTCATTCTTTCCTCGCAGACCAAAGCTTCTAGACAGTATGTATTAAGGTCATACATCCTTCAATGATAAAGTGAGGTACAAGTAGCCGCTTTGGTGAAGCATGCTCGCTGGAAGAAACAATGCAGATATGTTTGAATAGGTTCAAACAGATTTGGAGAACATCGTGTGCATTTCTCCTTGGATGTCTCACATCTGCTGCATCTGCACACGTGCTGGGGCATCATCTGCTGCGCTGCGGCATGATCTGCTGCGCTGCGGCATCATCTGCTGCTGCTGCATCATCTGCTGCTGCTGCATCTTCTGCTGCTGCTGCATCTTCTGCTGCTGCTGCATCTTCTGCTGCTGCTGCATCTTCTGCTGCTGCTGCATCTTCTGCTGCTGCTGCATCTTCTGCTGCTGCTGCATCTTCTGCTGCTGCTGCTGCTGCTGCTGCTGCTGCTGCTGCTGCTGCTGCTGCTGCTGCTGCTGCTGCTGCTGCTGCTGCTGCTGCTGCTGCATCTGCTGCTGCTGCATTACCTGCTTCTGCCGCATCATGTACTGCTGCAGCAGCATCTATGAGCTGCTGCTAGTGTGAGGAGACAGACCCATCTATGAACACGGCAAAACCCAAAAACAGCCGTCCCAAGGCAATCGGAGGTCCTAGCTGGTAAAGCAGTCGTTGGATGTCATCATCACTTGCAGAGTTGGTGAGGGGCATGTACCACTTTGGATGCTGCGGAATGCCTCCACAAGGTTCAAGCCGCAGAATATGCTCAAGCGTTGCTTGGTGGCGCTTTGGGCCTAAAGGTACGGACTGATCGTTGCAAGAAGTTCAGCTTGTAGCCAATTCAATAGCCAGAATGGGCACTACACTAGGGCTCGCAAAAGCAGATAGTCATGGCTGCAAAGTTGGCCTGCCTTCGTGGCGAACCCAGCCAATGCCGCCTCCATGTGGTTCAGTGAGCAGTGCAGCCATACTTAAGCCATGCTAAGCGCTGCTGCTCAGCACACACCGACGACATGATCTGGAAAAGATTGCCATTTCAGTACTTGCTGCTGACACTGACAAGTCCATTTTCTGTCCGTCTGTGCTCTACACACTTCGACACCTCGCTAGAACCATCCTGATTTTCTCGGAAGCCGGGGAAGGGAATCAAGACAGAAAGATTCAGGACCTCTTTTGAAGTTCCCCAACCAATCCCACCTTTGCAGCGTGCATTGGGAGGTCCGCACGGCCCGCTATAGCCGTCCTACAGACGCGTCGTTGTGAACGCGTTCACAACACCGACACACAGATGAAGCCCGGCTCCGTGTCCTTCCGGTACCACTCCTTGTAAAAGTAGCCGAAATCAAAGTCGCAAGGAGGATTCATCAGCTCGGCCTCTCGTGAGAAAGCGAGCTGACCACACTGAAATAGCCGTGTGCACGCCGTCTGACGTGTTGATATCGATACGTGAATGCCAGACTCACTGGTTCACTGCAGTTGGTCAGTGGTGCCCGCGCTTAACTTTCAACCAGAAGTCATGGGCGAAACCTCGAACGAAAAAAACGGAGGAACAACACCGAGTCTGAATGCGAAATCCAAGCAACAACTGTCGGCATGTATGGATACCTGCAAAGGGAAAACTTCAGTCAAAATCATAGCATTCAATACTCCCATCTGCAAAAGCATGCATACCTCCTGTCGAAGAGTTCGGCAGCTTGTCGCACCCGCTCCTGCCCGGCAAGAACTTCTTTCCAACGAAACCAGTGAAGGGCACTGGCTCCCCGATTGTTGATGCTTCTTTTTTGTTTCATGCGCACCTCATTCGCAGCGGTATTGTTGATACCATTCCACCAACCTCACGACAAAAATCTTTGCTTTGGATGCAGGCGCTATAACGGGGCCCCATGGCTGGACGCAAGTGGTCAGGCCACCATCACTGCTATCCAAGAAGCTGAATTTGACACCTTCATCCGTTTCCGGGTCATACTCCCGGTGGTTCCACCTATGAGTGGGATGGACGCCGAATTTGAAGTTATGCCCAGGGTTGCTACGAATGATGGCCACCAAAAGCAGGGGAGGCGGTAAACAGGAGAGTGTAAGGGGATAAGCAAGCAGGGGGGTAAGCAACCCGTACTTATACCCCGCAAGAGAGGGAGCAAGACGGCAAGCAGTCTGCCCGAACTTGACTGTGGGCCCTCGAGCCGTGCAGGGCAGCTGGCCAAAGAAACTAGGCTGTGAGGTCAACCCGAACGAAGTCCGAAGTCAAACCAAAGCATGTGCAGCTGGCATAGTGGCGTAGTGTGCCTCGGACATATGCATGCTTATGCAATCTCCTTTCACGGTCCGGCCTCCAAGAGTCATAGTTCTGGACTCCCACCAACCTCAGCAAAAACTTCTCAGCAAATCTCAACATTGCTTGCGACATCAGCCTTGACTGGCTGCCAAGCACAGCTTAAAACTTGAACCGCCAACATGCGATTAAGATGCTCGTTGAGGTCAATCTCACCTTAGCGGCATAGCGGCTTCTGCAAGCGGGCGCAGAGACATGCAGCGAGTTGTCCTAGGCCGAGGCCTGCTTCTTCATAGTTCCAGGTGCCTAAGCGGCACCAAAGCGGCAGAGAGGACAGAGATGGCAAAGAGATTGCAAACGAGGCACATGTCCCGTTGCCGTTCGGCTCGATGCCTATTCGAGGAGTTTTCAGGCCACAGGGGGGCACGGAAGATGAAAAGTCGGCTTGCATGCCAAGCCCCAATGGCCTGGGCAATAGCCACCTGGCTGGCTGGCTTGGCAGGAGTTGTCCTTGTTGTAATACCTGAATTCAACCCCTCGCAGCACTTGATGAAAGACTGCCCACATGACATGAAGCTTTTCAACGAAAAAGACAAGCGACAGGTTATTCGGGCAAGCACCCGGCATGGTGTACCTGAGCAGGGCTCTTTCATGATGCACAACTTACTCTTGCTAGCACCTTTGGGCATCACTGCATCTATCCCTGAAGGAAGCCAACACTCAGCTCATTCGTCCAGAGTCCGCTCTGGCAGAATTGCAAGACAACAACGCAAGCAAGTAGCCAGATCGCGTTCGGATAGTACCTCATGCAAAGGTTGGATTGGGATCATGTAATGCAGACCTCAACAGGACATTCCCGACCTTACAAGCAATGGTTTTTGCTTTAGCGAGCAAAGGGCCGAAGAAGCAACAAAGACGAACAGCAATTTTTTCTGTGGGAGCCATCTTGCCGTTGTCGATTATGTATTTAAGGATACTTCGTCGCAGGCTTCTGTCGTGGGAATCTTCGCCGGATGTTCTGATGCTGGGATTCTCTGGGCTTGATCGCTCGGTGGGACTCTCTGCGGGCTTCTCTGGGCATGGACACTGCGGGGACAAGGAATGGTTGACTTAAAACCCAACAACCCACAACCGAAGGGTGGAAAATTCCAGAGATACTCGGTGGGACTCTGGATGGGCTTCTCTAGGGATGAGGAAAAAGGATGAAAAGCCAGAAGCCGAAAGCAAAAACAAAATCTCCCCCCCCCCCTCCCCGCCAAAAACGCAACAGGAACAGCAAAAAAATAGCCCTTTCTGTGTGCAAGAGCCAGAACAAGGTTGTATCAAGTTGTATCTGTAGAACCTGGCAGCAGGGAAGCTCAGGTGTGAACAGAGTCCCCTAACTCAGGTAAGTCGCACTGGGTGCATGGGGAAGGGATACTCGCCGAGCTTGTTGCAGCCAATGTTGTAGCCGTATGCAGAATACTCATACTCGTTCTTGTAAGGCTTGAGATCCGGGAGGTACTTATCCTTCAGCAGTTGAGCAGCAGCGATTCATGCACACCTGTCATTGCACCATCATGACACCACTGTGATACCCCACGACCAGCAACTAACAATCGGCGAGTAGTGCGTGAGTCCTGGAAAGCACCATCGCCACAAAACTTTGGCTTGAAGCCTGGCTGACAGGCACATGCTTTCATCAAGACGCGATATGGTCTGTACTGTTGCGCGCTGGCTGTCTGAGCGATTTGCAAGCTTAGCCTACTCATTTTGGGACCCGCTTGGCGAACTTTACACCCTAGGGTTGAGAGAGTAGAGTTTAGGGCTTAGGGCTTCGGGAATCAAGCTTAGGGTTCAGGGCTCAGGGTTCAGGGCTTGGGGTTTCGGGCTCGGGATTAGAGTGTTTTGCGACAGCAAGAATGGCCAAGCGATTGTTCAGCGAGTTTGCTTCGCGAAAACAGTCTCCGTCCGGCTGGGCCTTCTGTCGTTCCGTTCTTGTTCGTGACATTGGTGCGCCCACAGACAAATGGGCCAGTGGCCTGTGCTCGAGATGGGCAAAACGATTGACCTCCAATCAGTATTCACATGAAATCATAGAGGCATTCCGCACATCCTATGTCCTACGAATACCTTTACGAGCTGCCTACTCGTGTATTCAACGCCTCTGCTCAGAACTGTGCTGCGGAAGCTGGCCCTCCCCAACCCCTCAGCCCTAGAAACCCCCACCTGGCCCTTGTCATAGGCCAGCCGCACCCCAAAGTGCATTCCAAGCCGAAGCAGCGGCGCAGTGGCCCGCATTTGCACCTGGTCAGAGTGTAGGCTTCAGGTTTGAAGACTAGGAACACCTCTGTCCAAGGACATGCGGCGATATTGCAGAAGGTCTGCAAACAATACCCCCGGTCCGTCCCTTCACATTACGAAATCCCTGCTCTTTCTGCAGTATGTTTCCGCTCTGTCTCGCTTTGGAATCTCTCAGGCAACGAACAACGAATGCAAAAGGAAAATTAAAAGTCACAAAGATTTTGTCAAAACAAAAGTTTCGCAAAAGCAACAAAAGAACATAAAAGACCAAGCAATGAAGGAGGCAAGGATAGGCAAGGAGAGGCAAGCAGAAGCAAGGCGAGGCAAGGCGAGGCAATGGGAACACATCACAACAACACCCTAAATCCTGTAAGTCCATAGACTAGAACTCGACCCATTTATACGGCCCATGCGCTCAACACAGTAGTAGACCTTCCGAGGAGATTGGAGAAGAGCGTACAAGGGCCTGTGCCCTTATCTGGACAGGTTGACCGTCATTGACCATCAGAACCCCCTACGCAAAGCCCTTCGTGCACCTTGTATCGCAGTATCCGTGAGATTTGGAACTTGCGGGGCGCTTGGATGACCACTTCATGGTGGAGATACCAGAGCACCCCCGCCAAGCCTGAGTGCATCCGCACATGTTTAGAGTTCTGCGAAATGGCCTTCTGCAAAGTTTATCTTGATGTTGCCCAGGGGCTGGCCATGTTCGTGTTCAGGGGCGGGTAAACTTCGTCTGACCTCAGGCATTGAGCAGTGTATAGCTTCTGGCTTCGATGCCTCATGTACGCGCCGTCACCAACACCGAACTCCCACGACACTCACTTGTGACAGCACATGACAGCACGAGCATTTCACACAAGTCGCACGTTTGAAATCGGTCCAAGGCCGTGGCACTGCCCGGTACATGTAGAAAGTGAACCTTGGTTTCTGCCAAGCATCTGCACAACAACGCACGAGGTAGGATTCTTCTTTGTTAGCATCCCCAAAGGACACCCACGACATACATCATACATGAACATGCATTCATACATACCTGCGGAAGACCTCTTCATAACCCTTCTATACCCTGTGACATGTTCCTTGTGCCAAAATGGAATGCCGACAGACTACGTCTTTTGCAGCACTATATAGTGTCCAGCTTTGTGGCTATTGGGATCAATCGTTCTGCTTTCCTGCCGCATTCTGCAAGAATAGCAAGTGGAAGCCACTGTACATTCCACAGGCCAGTCATCTGGAAGAGAAAGCTCGCAGGACTAAACTCGGGCCGCACAACTGGAGCCGCAGCCTACACAAACCCGCCGCGGAGCAATGGCGATTCGCTTCGAGAATTCAGGGATGCATCCTTCCTTGGAGAGAAAGGGACTTCCAACGGGACCCCTAAACCTGAAACTAGACTCTACAGCCTCCTCGTCCTGATGGCATGACAAAGGAGATGCCCAACTCGGGCTACTGCACACAATATTCACTCCAGGTTGGACTGCATTCGAGGCTGGTCTTCACAAGCTTCATTGTTCTAGACAATGAGAGGAGCGCACCCACAACTTATCAACCAGCACCGCTACAAACAGGAAGGAACAACTAGAAAAAAGCCCTCGGGCAGCACCATCCCGAACATGAAAAATGGGGCCAAAGTCCAAGACGCACCAAATCCGAATAGAACACCAAATCCGGATACCAAACCAGGCTTGCAAGCCTTAAACTGCCCCAATACCACTTCGTTGGAGGCCTGAGACCCGAAAGATGTGACCACAACAACAAGCCTGCCTGCACTGCCACCTGACAGGCTGCCATGCGCTGCCTACACCAAGGGTCGTAGTCCAAGGAAGCGCGGTGACATTCACAGCGTAGACCTAAGCATGCATGGCATGTGTGCCCCTCGGATCTCGGAGCTGTGACCGAGTGGAACGATGAGATAACAAACATCAAACAGTCTCATGCTTTGATGCTTTGACGACTTAGGCTTGCTGCGTGCAGCACACACATGCACGGCTCAGTATAGGGTACTGCCTGAAGGAACAAGCTTAGCTGTCAGTCACTACAGTACCATCTAGGCGAGCGGCGTTGGCTGGAGCCGGCGGCACGGGATCAGCCACAGGCACAGCTGTCACGGGCGCTTTCTGATAGGGTTTCAATGCTTCTGATTGGGGACCCTCTGGCAAAGGCTCGGTACCATCTGAGAATGCAAGTACAGCACCGGCGGAAAAAATCGATGCTTTTTTGCCCTTGCCGAAAGCCTCCGAAAAAGCTGGGTGAGGTGCCTTGGACAGGCTGTTGAGGCTGTTGAGGCTGCTGACTCTCTGGCAACGATGGCGTCACCCTGGGCTAAAGGATTCGCAGGCCAATGCTTCTTTACGCGCAGAAGTGATTGGGGCTACCCCTTCCTGCCAGGATGACGCAAAAGGAGGGGAATAGTCAAAAAGCCGAGCTTACGAGGCCTTACCGGGCTGCCCTTTGGCTGGGATGATGCAAACATGCTCGGCCGATTTGAAACTACGTTTTGGATTTGGGTTTGGCTTTTGATACCTTTGATGTACTGTAGCTGGGGGGGAAATTCCGGCTTCACAAATTTTGCCTGTGCAGACTGCACACAACGGAAGGCTTCCCAAAGGCTTGACAAAAAGTATCGAGAACTCCAAAAGACATGTTGGGGGGGCTTCTTTAGCCAGTTTAGCCCCAGCGCCGGCAAACCTCTCCGCCTGTCCACCTCTCCTCGTCCTTCTTTACTTGCTTATGTGTGTGTGTGTGCGCGCTGTGTGCCTTAGAAGAACTAAGGTGCAGGGTTTGCCATCCTTCTCGAAATTGGCCGAAACCATGAGGCTTCGATTGGCCCCGACTGCCATTCCGTCACATTTGGCTGCCATTCCGGTGCAACTGCCTGTTTCCGGGCTGCTGCCCTGTATGCTTGTCCGACAGCCTGTTGTCATACGTGGGGAATCTGCAGTGAATCTTAATGGCGCAGTGTTCCCGCACAAAACCACGCACAAGGTGCAATTGTCTGCGCCAGGGTGGGAGGTTTCGCGCTCAAACTCTGGCACGCAGGCAATACTCTGTTGACCTCCAGACACAACTCCCTTGCTTGCAATACCGTTGCCCGCCCTGCAATTGCATGTAATCTATATGGGGTTTGCCAACTGTCTAACGCTCTACCAGGATTCTTCTGGAGCGCGTGAACAGAGCAACAACCGGACGTTTCTCAAAGGCTCCCAGCTGCACTGACCCATAACAACCATAAGGGCAAGCACATGTGACTGAATTCAATTTCTTCAATCACTTTTTTTCTTCATCTTGAAAGCACTGCAACAGCACACCCAGCCAAATGACTGAACCCCATATTGCCTCTCGACTCAAAACTAAATGCAAAAAGCAACCCCTGCTGACGCATGACAAACACAGAGCACCTGCTTACGCCAGTTTACACAGCTTCCGAATGAGAAGGATAAGGAACCATGCTTGAAATATGGTTGAAGTCTAAACCTGGCCGGCCTGGCAGAACCCTGAGTCTCAGCAGAGTTACACTGGCGGCGGTGGGGCTGGAACTTGGATCACAGGCGTTGGCGGGGACACCTTGAACAAGCAGCAACGTTTGGAAGACTTCGGTTCGTTTCAATGTGGCTGAAGTGTACATCCTACATCATCCTACAACACGACTGAATGGCCTTCGAGGGTCCTTACAATCCGACCCTCATGCACTTGTCTGCGCGAGCTCCCTTCATGCGCAATACGCTGGCATGGCGTAGACTGGAAGCACAGCACCTCCGACTCTCCGTTCAGCAAGAACCCCGGACGCTGAGCCACAACGCGCTGCGCGCGAAATCCAGATCAGGCAAGCTGCACAAACTGCCTGGTAGTCAGAGCCTTGGAAGAACGCACGAAGGACAAGCCACTGTACAGAAAACTCTTTTGCGGCATCCTGCGACACACGAACTGCACAATACGGCAAGCATTCACCCAAAGCTTTAACAAAGAGCCATGCTCTGCGCAGCCAGTGCCCATTCACGCATGTCAAACTAGGCTGCCAACAACAGTTCTGGTAGTCCTTGCAAAGGCCTCAACTCCGGAAGGGCACAGGGTGGAAGTCAGTAGGCAGTTACCCAAGCTGGTCTGGGCCTAAGCTTGATGTTGGACACTGCAGATCTCGGAAGAAGCCGCGGCTTGTCACAACTTTGGCCAGGGAGCTGTTGCATTGGCAAGGTCGCCAACTGGTCGAGAGCACTTCTTGTTGCTTAATGAGGACAACACAAAGCTCGCAATCATAAAGGAGTTGACGAGATTGCAAATCTTATCATTACTTGGCCTCCTCTATGCATGTCTTACAGAATCATCGAGTCTTGTCTATCTCCACCTCTGAGAGACTATGTTGCTAGTTGCTAGCTTTGATGCGAAAGCACCAAAATGCACCGCTGTCGCCTGACGTAGGTCTCTGCGCAACTGAACTCGTTGCAGCCTGCGTCAGATTGTTCAAACACCGTCTACATCATCTGCTGGAAGCGGCATTCTTGTTTTGGGCGGCATTTGCTGCAGGTGCGGGGTGCCTGCGGCTGTCGAGGCTAGCCCAATGATCAAATGCTTAGATTTCAGGCGTATTGTCAGAAAGGGGTTTTGACATAATCAACCTTGGAAACACAACTTCTCGAATAGAGCCACGCTGCACCTTACCAAGTATCTGGCGTAAGACTACTTGATTCTGAAAGGGCATGCAGCACATTCAAGTGCATCCAAGTTGCTACCCCACTTGGACGTCCTCATTTGTTTGGCGCGTATCAAAAACAGCAAACTTGCAAAGAGGTGCAGTATGCTTACGGATCAAATTCAACACGTCCTGTTCAAGTTGCAATCAAAGTGCTATTGGATCATCTGGATTGTCGAGAACGAGTTAGCAGCTCGGACTACCACTGACATTATGCGTCACTGGTGCTGCTAGATAAATGACGAACACCGTAGACATCATGATTCTCCAGCTTAGGTTGCAGCGATGCTCGGCGGAAGGAAGGTGTTGTCTGGGTCTTTGGAACCTTCCACTTGAGATTGGTTGCGTTGAGGTGTTGAAAGGGCCCTGTGCCGGCACAGCAGAATCCACATGAGTGACAAACACTCCGTACTCTCCTATCATCATTGTGCGATATTGTTGAAATTGAGGCCACAGCCACATCTGCAGTCTTGGTTTCCTGACATGAAGGGAACAACATATTGCCCTACGATCTGCGCTGGTGAGCCCAGGACCCAGGACGCATTCTGAAATTTGTGGGCCGGCCTTGCACTGCTGCTCGTAGTCATAGCCTGGAAACTTCAAGCCACAGTGGCGGGTCACAGAAAGAACATGCAGGCCATAGCAGATGGCCCATCAAAACCCATAAACATGCGCACGAAGTTGTAGTAGTAGTTGTAGTAGTAGTAGTAGTAGTAGTAGTAATAAGTAGTAGTAGTAGTAGTAGTAGTAGTAGTAGTAGTAGTAGTAGTAGTCGTAGTCGTCGTCGTCGTCGTAGTGGTGGTAATAGTGGTAGTAGTAGTCGTAGTAGTAGTAGTAGTAGTAGTAGTAGTAGTAGTAGTAGTAGTAGTAGTAGTAGTAGTAGTTGTTGTTGTTGTAACTGTAGCTGTAGCTGTAGCTGTAGCTGTAGCTGTAGCTGTAGCTGTAGCTGTAGCTGTAGCTGCAGCTGTCGCTGTCGCTGTCGCTGGTAGCTTGCAGCTTGCAGCTTGCAGCTTGCAGCTTGCAGCTTGCAGCTTGTAAGCTTGTAAGCTTGTAAGCTTGTAAGCTTGTAAGCTTGTAAGCTTGTAGCTTGGAGCTTGTAGCTTATAGCTTGCAGCTTGCAGCTTGCAGCTTGCAGCTTGTAAGCTTGTAAGCTTGTAAGCTTGTAGCTTGGAGCTTGTAGCTTGTAGCTTGCAGCTTGCAGCTTGCAGCTTGTAAGCTT